AGTCCTCAGAATGGAGGCATATTTTAAGGAAAGATTACATATTTTTGTCAGGGGTTCCACATGTTCACATCTGAGTTCTTTCAGAACTCTTGGATGTATGCCATCCGGGCCTGGTGATTTATCCATTTTTAAGTTGTCTATCAGTCATAGGACCTCCTCTCCCGTCACCTCAATCTAACTCAGGTCTTTCAACATCCCTCCCGAAATCAGTGGTTCAGGAGTGGGCAAGCACTTCTCATCTTCCACAGTGAAGACAGAGGCAAAAAATGCATTTAGCTTCTCAGCCATTTCCCTATCATCCTTCAATAATCCTTTTACACCTTGCTCCATTCTGAGGCCCACAGCCTCCCTGGCTGGTTTCGTGCTTCTAATGTATTTGAAGAAAGTTTTATTGTTAGTTTTTTTGTTTTTTGCTATATGCTCCTCATATTCCCTTTTTGCCTGCCTGATTACAGACTTCCCTTTTATTAACCTCACTGAGACTAGCGTTCCACCGCTGAAAGGAATCCTTCTTACCTTTTACAGCTTCCATTATTTTGTTTATTAATCGTGCAGGCCTTTTTCTATACGTATTTGTACCTTTCCTAACCTGCAATATGTATTTTATCCAGGGTTCTAGTCGGGGGGGAGCTCTCAGGTACGGAGCTCCGGAAGAGAACCTCTAGGGGGCGGGGCGGTCACGTGGTGAAGCCCCGCCCCCTTCTTTACCCCGCCCTCTGCTTCGATCCTCATTCCGTTTGGGAATGAGGATGAAGCCGGAGGGTAAGTAGCCGGGCCTTCTGACACACTTCCGGTGATGTCAGGGGGTGTGGCCTTCTGTCACTTCCGGTGATGTCAGGGGGCGTGGCATATGCAAATAAGTTATGCTAATGAGTTATGCTAATGAGCTCCGGCAGCTCTTTTTCTACAACAAGACCCCTGATTTTATCTGAGCTTCTAAGATTGTAGTTTTAAATAGTCTCCAAGCTTCCCTAGTGGTTTTGACCCTTTCTACTTTTACTTTCAGTTTCCTTTTCACATGTCCCCTGATTTCAGAGACGTTACCGCATTTAAAGTTAAAAGTGGTTGTGTTGGTCTTTTGGGGCAACTCCCTATTTATACAAATGTTGAAATCAATAACATTATGGTCACTGTTCCAAAGCAGTACAATCACTTTTACATTTCTCACCAGGTCTTGGGCATTACTTAGGACCAGATCCAGGATCGCCTCTCCCCTGGGAGGTTCTGTGACTACCTGCTCCATAGCACAGTCATTGAGAGTGTCTAGAAACTCAGTCTCAGTTTCCCGACTTGAACACATATTGACCCAATCGATGTATGGGTAGTTAAAAATCACCTTTTACGACACAGTTATTTTGTCTAGCTACTATCTTTAATTCATTCATCATTTTATAATCCTCCTCTATCTTTGGATCTAGTGGGTGATAACAAACTTCCAGTGTTAAGCTTCCTTTTGGGCCCACTATTTCAACCCATAGCATTTCCAGAAGTGTATCCAATTATCTTACCTTCTCAATCTTACTGGACAGTATACCCTCTCTGACATACAGAACCACCCCACCTCCAGCCATTCCCCCATCCTTCCGATATAATTTATAACCAGGAATCACAATATCCCACTGATTTTCCTCATCCCAACAAGTTTCTAAAATACCCATAATGTCTATTCCCCCCTCCCCAACACCAAGCATTCCAACTCCCCAATTTTACCTTGGAGACTTCTAGCATTTGTATATAAGCATCTATAATTTCCCAGGCATGTTAGGCCCGCAACCTTCCTCCTGCTGCCTCAAGACCTTGCCAGGCAGTCCATATTGTTTGCCACAGTCTCAGTGGACAATTTTAATCCATTTCCCTGTAGAAAAGTAACAGCTACCTTGGAGGTCCTGTCCTTGAGTCTCCTGCCTAGCAGCCTAAATTTTTCCTCCAGGACCTCATGACTGCAATTTCCACACATCGTGCCAATATGTATCATGGCCACTGACTCCTCCCCAGCACTGTCTACCAGCCTATCTAGAACACACTTAATGTCCGCTACTTTTGCACCAGGCAGGCAAGTCGCCATACGGTCAGTATGCAGGTTTCTCACCCAGCTGTCTACCTGCCTAAGGATCGAATCACCAGCTACTAAGAGCCCTCCTCCCTCCCTGCCCAGGGATGGTTCCTTGGTGCAAAAGGATACCCATTCACCAGCTGAATAAAAGGTCTCTTCTGAGGATACATTCCCCTTATCCTCAACACGGTGCCTGCCGATCCTCATGCTCCCTGACAGTGGTGGGGCTGCCATTTTAAGAGTGGGACATATCTAAGAAGGCCCTCAGAGTCTTCTCCATGCACCTGACTGCCTCTGCTTCTCCAGGTCAGCCACCTTGGCCTCAAGGGTACAAACTCATTCCCTGAGAACCAGGAAACCAATCTTGGATCAATCCACTTCAGAATACAGGTAGGAAATCACACGATTGAAGTGCACAAAAAACCCCTAGAAAACTGGGTTCCTATCTTTCTCTTTCATCTATTCTGAGAAGGGGGATGGGGGTAGGAATGGAATAATGCAACGCTGAGCTGAATCAAGCTATCCTGATGCCCACATGGCCAGTGCTAGTAGGAGCAAAGAAACAGAGAACAC